GGGTAGTGAATTCGAGGCCGAACTATTTCAGGCGCTGTGCCGAGAGTTCGGGATCCAGAAGGACCGAACCACGGCGTATCACCCCCAGGCGAACGGGATGGTAGAGAGGATGAACCAGACTCTGGCCGGGAAGCTTAAACGCATGGCGGCCGCGAATCAACAGGACTGGGACGAACACCTTCCCTATGCCCTGTTCGCCTACACCACCGCCGTTCACACCTCTACAGGACAGACCCCGTTCCTAATGATGTTTGGTCGCGAGTCTCGCCTGCCCGCAGATCTGCTGTTCGGTGTTCCTCCGCCGCAACGGGAGGAAGGGAGCCACCCCGTGGAGCACTTGCTGGAGACCCTGCGAGGGGCCAGGGGCCGAGCCGGCCCGCACGGAGAGGCCGCGCACCAGCGGCAAGAGCAGGGCGCCCGACCCCGTATGGAGCCCCCCTTCTACACTGCGGGCTCCGAGGTGTGGCTGTACACTCCCCGCGTCGGTGCCGGACAGGTGGGGAAGCTGACCACCTACTGGCGAGGACCCTGGATTGTGAGACGGCAGATCTCACCATGGACGGTGCTGATTCAGGGAGGAGAGAGGGGCCGGGAGATGGTGGTCAACATCCGCCGACTGAAGCCGTGGCGAGCAGCCCCCGAGGGGGGGAGCCCCGCCGTCCAAGTACCCCGAAACCCCGGGGTCCCCCCACCCCCCGTGCCCGGGGGCCTCGCGCAGTACATGGGCCCCACGGAGCCCCGGGCTCCGAGGGGCCCCGGGCGGGGCCGGGGGCGACGAGGACGGCGACCCTTAAACCCCACCGCCTCTGAGTTTGTTCCCCAGCCCGCAGGTGCCAGAGGCCGAGGGGAGCCGTTGGAATGGAGGAGGAGACCACCGCCGGAGCCCCAGGAGACGGAGCCGCCACCCCCGAGGCCAGCCACAAGGGCCGGGCGAATCCCGCGGACCCCGCGGCGATACCTCGTGGGGGCAACCCAGGCGAGGTGCTCCAGTCAACCCGGGACGGGGACTGGCACCCCGGGGGGCTATGTGGTGCCACAACGACGGGGCCGCTCTGCCGAACCAGGGAGCCGCCCGGCTTCCCCCACCGCACTGCCCCCCATCACCCGCCCCACATAAGCACACACCCGCACGCATTCCCCCCCCCCCATAGAGCTGGAAGGGAAGGTCACCTGATCGACCGGTTTTTATCCGAGAGACCCTTATCGGGATTAATTCTCACGGTTTCCGGCGATCAGGGAATTGGATGACCTCCCCGTGCTACGTGGCACCGCGGCGCTGCGGCCGGCCTTAATATGGTAGGTCGTGGCGTGGGGCATTCGGCCACTGCGGTTGAGGCGCATTTCCCCCCACACACACTCCCACGGGTCGACGGGGCGAGCAGGGGAGGCACGGGACAGCATGAATAGCGGGGTCACAGGGGCTGTTGCGCATAGTCATGGAGGGTTGGGATAATTGCGCTTGAGCGCGCAGGCCCCATTGTTAGGGAGGGTAAGGGATTAAGTAGGATTTACGCCTTGCACGCGGCACACTGATTAGCATATCAACAGCACCCAGAACCGCCGTGCGCGTGCCAGAGGATCGCGAGCCCATTGTTTAGCGCAGCATCCCCTTGAAGGTAGGGAGGATAAATAGAGGGGCGCAGAGGGAAAATAGCTCGCTTCTCTCCAGGCCAGCGGACCAGCAGGACTTCCAGCCAGCGACCCGGACGTCCGTGCGACGCATCGAGGTACGCTGTTAGCGCAGAGAGCAGCGAACCTCCGCGGGCACCAAACAGTGAGTGGGGAGGTGAAGTAGGGTATCGTAAGCCGATAAATAGGGAATAGGTACAGGTTTAGTGGAATAGGCCAGCCTCGTCGACTCACTGATTCAACATCAATTCGCAGGTGGCATATAATAAATCATTAATAGCGAAGCGTGGTCTCGCGTGATCTTGTCGTGCAGTGTGAGCGTGTGGGTGCGCTGTGTGCACAGTGGTTCGCCACGTGAGTGAGCGCTGCGCGGAGCTGAGCGCGCGGGTTGCGTGTGGGAACGCGTGTGGTACTGTGTGTGCGTAAGCTCGCGGCGTGCGTAATAGGCGTACCCCAGGTGCGCGATCATAACGCAAGCGGCCAGCAGACGGCGAGCGCTGCGCAGAGCGGCGCAAGAGTGGGTGTCGCGTGTGTTCACTCCGTGTGTGATACAGGTGCGCGATCATAACTTGCGTAGTTGGTGTGGAGTTGGAGTGCACGGAGCGGCGTGTGTGTGTGTGCATACGTTCGTTACATGTCGGATACGGATGCGCATTGGTAACGTGCCGCACAGGGCTATACTGCGAGCACGGCGTTTGATTGACGATGATGTGCGCACGTATGCTCGCAGCGTGGGAGCGCGGCGCGAGGCTGTAACAGTAGGGGCGTCGCATTCGAATGCCGACGAAACCGTAGCGAGTAATAGGGAGGTGGGGTAACGTAAACGGAATAGGGGATGCAGGCGGGAGGGACCCCGGGGGCCAACGGCCCCCACACTTCTCCCTTGTGATGGGACTTTGTAGGATGAACGTTGAGATTTATAAGGGGCACGGGGTGACCAACAAGGTCAGAATTGGTCTGTGATAAGGGGTTGACAGCCATGCAAACCCCACACAATACAAAACGCCAAGCGGCCAGCAACAACAAAAAATAATACATAACTGTCCAATGAGTAATTAGATAATTAAGATCATAGAAACACGTTCCTTAAATTGATCAAGTTTATTGTTGCAAGAGTTTGGGGAAATAGGAAGACCGGGTGGGGATTCCAGAGTGGAGCAGTGTAAACTGATAAAGCTGAAAAGAGTGAGGTGACCTGCATGGTGGTGAGCGGGTGGGTGAGTAAATGGGTGAGTGTTTGAGTAAACGAGTGGAGGAGTGTGTGATAGGGTGATTGAGTCAGTGACCGGATGATATATATTGTACTTACAAACCTCGCCGCAAGGCGTCAGGAGTCAAAAGGTCACGGGTTCAAATCCAACGCCGTTATAATATATTTTTAAAAAATAACTTCATAAACTATTATTTTCTTTACTTTGTCATTTGTAGCAGTATTTCTGGGCATCGTTACGTACAATACAAAATTCTATAACTATTTATACAGATGTGTAATTGTATATAAAAAAATCATTTTAATACTTCAACGGATCAATGATTACTGGGAGCAACGTTAGTTTTAGCGTCACTCGCGCTGCCAAAACTTTATTGTGCAGTAGACACACAAATACGTTACAGTACAGTATCACATGCTATGTCATGCATGTCTCCACATATGACATGTAAGTTAATTAATTAAAAATAAAATATCAGTAATTCTGCACTGTGATAAGCCACCAGAGGGCTCACATTAAGCACGGAGTGCAATACTCTACCGTAGCCACAAGGCGGCGGCAGTAGATAGGTCGCGCGTTCAAATGCAAACTCCCCTGTCCATTCACGCGACTTTTTACTTAATTTCGGGCGTCAAGTCTCAGTTACATTCGTAACGACACAGACTTGCACTCTTGCTTTAACGTTTTTTTTTATTAGTCATTGCAAAAAAATCACATTGTACAAAAAACTCAACACACAAGAGAATATATTGGGAGACGTTTCTGGCATTGCCCATTATTCATAGCGGTTAGATTTTTGCGTGGAGTTGTTATAGAATACGGTTTTAGGATCCAATCACGGCCGTGTAACTATGTAACTAGCCTCTTGCCCGTCCAAGGACGGGTGTATTTCAGTAAATTTGAAACTTGCAAGCGAAAAGCAGACCGCGACGTGATATATTCATTACATAAATTCGTGTTAAATTCATACTCTTTGGTTTCTTTCGGTAAAGTCACGTAGTTAGAAATAAAATAAATCACGACGTTTCGATCGCAACACAAGCGATCGAAACGTCGTGATTTGTTTTATATGATTTGTGACTTTATTTTATTTCGTGACTTTACCGAAGGAACCAAAGAGTATGGATTCCTGCAGTCACGAGAGCTCTCCTGTCCCCGCGATGTTACAATCGACCTAGCAGGTGTACGCGAGCTAATTTCATTGCTCCATCTCCTCAGTGGACGTCTCAGGGGCTCTGCACCTCCTTTGGCAGCGACTCCCTCGCCAGTCTCGACCACGGGCACCTCGGGGGGAGGCAGACATTTGTGACGATGTGTGACGATGGGGGGTCTCAGACTGATGACCAATGAGTGCACCATACACTAAATGTAAAATGTTTTTTTCATCATCAACAATTGCCCTACATTTTTTAAATAAAACTGCGAGATTTGAAATCGGACATGGGTTTGATGACATGAAATAATAGCCTTAATGATACTGTACACATGATGCATGTATTAAAGCATTTTATAAATAAAAATTACTTTGAATGACAATGACATAAAAATATAAAGAAGTTATGTACTCACTAGTGTAACTAACCGGACGCTCTCCTACCTCCGCACATCGTATAACCTTATTTTTTACATCCATACTGATGCCTTTCCTTTGTTTAGCCACATTACCAGAACTATCACTTGCAGGCCTTTTTCCCCAGACATTGTGGGTCAAAATTGCAATCAGGATGAAGCAACAAAACTGTTACCAAAGGTCAAATAACCAAACACACGTTCCACGGGAAGCGTTCAAGGCTGGCGGGCAGAGGCGGGAGCGCTGGTTGGCTCAGCACCACTGAGCGTGCGCTTCTCTTTCACTGATTGAGCGAGCGGCTCGGAGAAGGCAGGGAGTGTTGCATGCCGCGTGTTCTCGCGCAGGAATTTTGAATCGTTCAGGAATTTTCCTCCAGGACAGAGCCTCGTAAGGAAATGGTGTTATAAGAGGCAGCCTGTCCATACGATAAAAAATGTTTTTTTTATCATAATGGTACTATGTAAATGTTTTCATCCTAATCATACTGCTGTTGGTGTCGTGAAATACGTGTGTTAATTTTCCTGTCATTTTACTCTAAACTTGAGATAAAACTATGTGAGCCCCTGTGCACGTGCCACTTTTCTGTGACCATGCCAGTGAGATGGCCAACTGTTGCCAGCAACGCATCAAACATGAGCAACTATGGTAACTCTATGCAATAGCGTAGAGCAGCAGGGTTCTGTGTAGCCGAGGCAAATGGAGATTGGTAAAAAGGTGTTGACTACCTGGGATTGGTCTAAGAGTACACAGTGTTGGGTGGTCACATGATCTCTGATTGTAAATTTCTATCCCAGTTGCTCACTAAGGACGAGCAACTATTGGACGTGTCGTTCCTTGTAAAATCGAAAATGGTGTGGCAACAACTTCAAAATTATCTGCGTATACCAGGGTGTGCGGCAGCCATTTGAGCCAACTGGGATATAATTGGGAATAAAATAAAGCACTCCAATGACTTAGACCTAACCGCTCTGTGGCCGCTTCTCTCTCTCTCTCCAGATGGAAACGTCCTCACGCTCAAGTTGTACCCGAGGCAAAGCGACCTCCAGCTATGGCGCTATCTTTTCGCAGAAGCTGTCGCTGAGGCTGCTGCTGCTGTTGCTGCCACCGCTGCTGCTGAATGTGGCCGTGGCACAGCGCGAGAGCGCAGGCCGCGCGTCCGTCCTCTCGATGTTGCGGTGCAAGCAGGTGGACGTCGCCAAGAACCTCTCCTCCGGATACGGGTGCTTCTGCCACACGAGATTCCGCCACGCAGAGCCCCAGGACGAATTGGACTTGTGCTGCATGGTGAGGCTTGGCTGGGGGTAATTCGTAGAGTGAGTGAGAGAGGCACCGATGCTGCGTTGGGGCGATGGATAAAGGCCTCCCCAAACCGCATTTGCGATTGTCTCTCACAAAAACACTCATGATATAGATTTATGTATTATATGATTTTTCATAGAATTAGGACCCATATCTAAAAAATCCTTACCCGATAAACATCTGGTAGATCACCAGCATTGGTTTAAGCCAGCGTGACTTGTGGTGATACATTGTACGTTTAGACCGGTCCAGAGTTTGCTTGTGTTCAACCCTATGCTGGTTAAATTACGCACTCACAGAATGCCGTGTAGATAATGGGATGTGTTGAAACATTTTTATATTCATGTGGAGGGAGCGATATGTCAAGGAGGCATATTATCTTCTTATTTATTTCATCCATAAGTGGATTGACAAAGAGCTGTGAGAAAGAAACGAAGTTTCCTTGTTTCAGTTCATTTAGTTATACCAGGTTCTCACCAATTTCATACTAAAACATCTGCCTGTCTGCCCACATGTTCCTTGGTCCATTCGTTCATCCCCGTGGCTAAAGATGGCCCACTGCTGTGCCCGCGCCGCAATCCTCGACTACTGCCAGTCGGAGAGTGGCCTGCAAACGCTCGAGGCCAAACTCAAGGAGCAGCCCTCCTGCAAGACACATCGGCCTGCGGCATCACGCAAGGCCGACGAGCGTTCGGAGGCCACGCTGACCCGAGATGCCGTGGTAGAGGTGCTGGAGGCCGTGACAGAGGAGTTGAAGGAGATGACTGTGAAGGAAAAGCAAAGAGTGGAGCGGGAGGCCAACACGACGTGTGAGCGGGTGCTGTACGAGTGTGAGCGGGCGTTGTACATGTGCGCCAGCGATGCACCTGTGCGGCCTGATTTGGTCGGGCTCCCCCAGGTGAGTGCAGGTTGCTTCGAGATATTAACTACCTCGTGGGGTGCCACGGTGGCGAGATATTAACTACCTCGCCTGGAATTCAGGAGTTCGTGGGTTTGATCCCGACCCTGACGCCTGTATATTTGGAGTTTTCATGTTCTATCCTTGGTTGTGTGGATTTTTCTTCGGGTCCTCCGGTTTTTCCCTCCTGATTTACATATTTGGCTGCTATAAATTTCCACATAAGCCACTTCATTGAGCTGTCATTTGTGGCCAAGTCGCTTCTAAAAATGAGCTATATAGCTCAGTGGGCCTTACCTGGGAAAATAAACATTGTTATGTTTATAGTTTAATAGTATTTTTTTTTATTCACACACTGAGTATGGATTGCAAATTAAATGGGGTTTTTGGATTGGCACGTGATCTTTAAAAAAATACTTAAAACGAATTCTAGCTCCACATCGGGTGTTTACATGAACAGGCACAATTTAATCAAAAATATTTTATTGTCTATATTCAACACAGGCCTAAAGCCCCATAATGCAAAGCAGCCAGCAACAAAACATGAATGATAAATACAACACATAGTATCGCCCCAATGCTCATTCGAGCAAGAAATCACCGACCGACTTTTTGGAATAGAGCAAGTCTATAAGAACTTGGGAAAATAAACAATGGGAGTTCCAAAATCAGAAACTAAGGGCACAGCAGATAAGATGAGATGTATAGACTTTATTGAACAACTTTGTAGAAACTCGGTGAAAGAGATGATAGAAAATAACTCCTCAGTCGAACAGGTGAGAACAGGAGAATGTTAAATCTCCTGCAGTGTAGTTGTTGGACACAGTAGGGATACCAGGAAATTGTCATCTTGATAGGAAGGGCATCAATGTGTGAATTTCCTGGGCACAATGATTGGTCGTGCCCATTAAAGAGTGATAAAGAAGTAAGACAGCAACTGCAGTGAATCAATGTGTGCAGGAGGACCATTTAACTGAACTGCTCTGTTAAATTGTACAAGCAGAATTTACAGTATTCTGACCAATTCAAAACAGTGCTTATCATAGGATCTGCACATGTCGCATGTACATCACGAGATGTCCCACACAAGTTTGAGGTTCACTTCATCATTTATTTTCAAGTTATAGTAAGCGGTGTATCATTGTGGCACTTTAGTGACGTCGCGAGACCTTTTTACAATTCAAGTTGAGGGAGCTGGATTAATTCTGGTATGGTAGGACTATAACGGATGGAGATGACATGCAGAGACCTTCATCCTGCAGTGGCTATACAATGATTGATGATGATTAATCGTATTTTATAGCCCTTAGACACAAATGAATGCATGAAAAATGAGTGTAAGCTTCTATCTTAATGAATTATAACATACCTAATGTTTGCCAACCCTGACACTCTCCCTTGTCGATACTCCCGCCGGCCTCTAGGATGAGGTCTGCAGGGCCAATATCGACCGGCCAGTGTGCTCGCTGGAGCCAGCACCGACCAACCAATCTACAGCCATACCTACCACCAGACCTGTTACTGGACTCACAAAACAAATTCCCAGTTCTACAGCCAGACCTACAACCAGTTCTATTACTAGACTCACAACAACACCTACCACCAGTACTACAGCCAGACCTACCAGCCGATCTTTTTCCTGGCTTACAACCAGCTATTCGACCAGTTCTATAGCCAGATCTTCGAACAGATCTTCTGACAAATCGACAGACAGGTTCACTGAACATTTACTCAATCTGATTACTGGAAGCGAAGAGACCTCCAGAGAAATGGTGACAGGAAATGTACACTCAGCACAAAACCATGTTTGGCAACCATCCCATCTCAGAAGCGGTGATGCACACTCACACATACAACACCTGGACCCCATTCTCAGGGTTGATAGTGATCTTACACCGAGACAATACCTGCAGCACATTCTGAGGGTTGACAAAGTACACCCACTCAGACATCATCCATGGCCCAATCTCGCTCTTGGCAGCACACATGCACACCGACAACATAGCCTCACCTGTGACCGAGCACACCCACAGACACGACAGAGTGACAATACACCCCAAGAGAGACAGCACAGTCTCAGAAACAGCGTATTGCACTTTCTGAAGCAACACCGTAGATACGCTGATTCGAACCTATACAAACAACACCGACCCATTCATGGCATTGCACATAAACGCATACAACTCTTTGACAGTACATACCCACACAGACAACACCGTGTCAAGAGTGACTATACAGACCCAGAGATACAGCACATTCCCACAGGCAACATAATGCGCTTTCTGGGCCAACGTCCTTTTAGAATTGACGATTCACAACCATACGGACGACACCCTCCCAGAGGTGGCACTACACACCCACGTAGACACAGTGTCGAGGGTGACAATACACAGCCAGAGAGACAGCACATTCTCAAAGAAAGCATAATGCGCTTTCTTAACCAACGCCCCTTTAGAATTGACGATTCAGAGCGATACGGACAACACCCTCCCAGAGGTGCAGCTACAAAACCACGTGGACAATACAGTTTTGCTGATAGCATCATCAATGGACCCACATTTGCTGACGAGAAGAATGTGGGAGATATCATCAATGAACCAACGTTCACTGACGAGTACAATGCAAGAGACACCTTTAATCGACCCACATTCGCTGACGAGAACAATGCGGAAGACATCAATGGACCCGACAGTACACACAAACACAGACAACTCCTTGACAGTACATACTCACACAGACAACACCGTGTCAAGAGTGACTATACACACCCAGAGAGACAGCACATTCTCACAGGCAAAACAATGCGCTTTCTGGGCCAACATCCTTTTAGAATTGACAATTCACAACCATACGGACGACATCATCCCAGAGGTCCCAATAGACACCCACACGGACATTACAGTTTAGGTGATGGCACCATCAAAGGACCCATGTTCACTGAAGAGTACAATGCAAGAGACACCACCAATGGACCCACGTTCAATGACGAGAATGATGCGGGAGACACCATCAATAGACCCACATTTGCTGACGAGAATGATGCGGAAGACATCATCAATGGACCCGACAGTACACTCAAACACAAACAACTCCTTGAGAGTACATACTCACACAGACAGCACCGTGTCAAGAGTGACAATATAGAACCAGAGCGACAACACATTCTCACAGGCAACATGATGCACTTTCTGGGCCAGCACCCTTTTAGAATTGACGATTCACAACTCTACAGACGACATCCTCCCAGAGGTGACAATACACACCCACTCAGACAATATAGTTATGGTGATGGCACCATCAATGGACCCACGTTCACTGACAAGAAGGCGGGAGACACCATGGATGAACTCACATTTGCTGACGAGAACAATTTAGAAGAAAGCATGGATGGACCCAGATTTACTTATGAGAACAATGCGGAATATACCATGCATAGACCCACATTCACTGACAAGAATACGGGAGACACTGTCAATGGACCTAAATTCGCCGAAGAGAACAATGCGGGAGACAGCATGGATGAACCCACATTAACTTATGAGAACAATGTGAGAGACATCATGCATAGGCCCACATTCGTTGATGAGAACAATTCGGGAGATACCATCAATGGATCCACATTCGCTGAAGAGAACAATGCGGGCGACAGCATGGATGGACCCACATTCACTAACGAGAACAATGCGGAAGACATCATCAATGGACCCGACAGTACACGCAAACACAAACAACTCCTTGACAGTACATACTCACACAGACAACACCGTGTCAAGAGTAACAATACAGATCCAGAGCGACAACACATTCTCACAGGCAACATGATGCACTTTCTGGGCCAGCGCCCTTTTAGAATTGACGACTCACAACTATACAGACCACACCCTCCCAGAGGTGACAATACACACCCACTCGGACAATACAGTTTTGGTGATGGCACGCCCACATTCACTGACAAGAATGCGGGACACACCATGGATGAACCCACATTTGCTGACGGAACAATTTAGAAGACAGCATGGATGGACCCAGATTGACTTATGAGGACAATGCTGGAGATACCATGAATGGACCCACATTCACTGACAAGAATACGGGAAACACTGTCAATGGACCTAAATTCGCTGAAGAGACCTATGCGGGAGACAGCATGGATGGATCCACGTTCACTGACAAGAACAATACGGGAGACACCATCAATGGATCCACATTAACTACTCAGAACAATGCGGGAGACACCATGGATGGTCCCACGTTTACTGACGAGTACAATACGGGAGACACTGTCATTGAACCCACATTCACTGACGAAAACAATGCGGGAGACACCATGGATGAAACCACATTTGATGACGAGAACAATGCGGGAGACACCATGGATGAAGCCACATTTGATGACGAGAACAATGCAGGAGACAGGATGGATGGACCCACGTTCACGGATCAGAACAATGCGGGAGACACCATGGATCGATCCACATTTGCTGAAGAGAACAATGCAGGAGACACCATCAATCGACCCACGTTCACGGATGAGAACAATGCGGAAGACACCATGGATCTATCCACATTTGCTGAAGAAAACAATGCGGGCAACAACATGGAAGGACCCACGTTCACTTATGAGAACAATGCAAGACACACCGTGAATGGACCCGCATTCGCTGATGACAATCCGGGAGACACCATGGATGAACCCACATTTGATGACGAAAACAATGCTGGAGACATCATAAATAGATCCACGTTTACTGAAAAGAAAAATGCAGGAGAAACCATTCACGAACCCACATTTGCTGACGAGAACAATTTAGAAGACAGGATGCATGAACCCAGATTGACTTATGAGAACAATGCGGAAGATACCATGAATGGACCCACATTCACTGACAAGAATACGGGAAACACTGTCAATGGATCCACATTCACTAACAAGAACAATGCGGGAGACACCATTAATGGTCCCACGTTTACTGACGAGTACAATGCAGGAGACACCATCAATGAACCCACGTTCACTGACAAGAACAATACGGGAGACACTGTCATTGAACCCACATTCACTGGCGAAAACAATGCGGGATACACCATGGATGGACCCACATTAACTGATGAGACCAATGCGGGAGACACCATGGACGGACCCACATTTACTGATGAGACCAATGCAGGAGACACCATCAATGGACCCACATTCACTTACGAGAACACTGCAGGAGACACCATGGACGGACCCACATTCACTGACGAGAACAATGTGGTAGAATCCATCGATGGACCCACGTTCACTGATGAGACCAATTCGAAAGACACCATGGGTCAATCCAAATTCGCTGAAGAGAACAATGTGGGAGACAGCATGGATGGACCCACGTTCATTGACGAGAGCAATGCGAGACACACCTTTAATGGACCCACATTTACTGATTATAACAATGCGGGAGACACCATCAGTTGACCCACGTGTACTGACCAGAAAATGAGGGACACACTCTTGACTGACAAGAGCAATGTAAGCTACACTCTGGATGAAGCCAGCCTCGCCCAGGGCCTCATCAAGTGATGATTAACAGTAATGCATCACTTCCACCGCTGTCACCACCATCACCAAGAGCATCACTGTGTCGGAACTGAGCTTGCAATGCGAGTATCTTTCAGTTACAGTCCTGTATGCAGTCATGTGAAAACAAAAAATGTAAAATAAAATAATAATAATAAATCACGTCTATTTTTATTATATATATACTTTACATCCACTTACTTGGTCGCATTCACTTACCATTGTTCACTCAATCCCAGCTAATGCTAGCCTCCCCCTTTTCTCCACTTATTCTCTACACATTTTTTCATTTATTTTTCTTCACCTCTTAACCATCATCCAGCCGTCCTCATCTATCTTCAGGCTGCAATGTCCACAATGGAGAGGGGCTATGAGATAGGGTTCAAGAGGCACATTGATTTTTAGCAGGCCAAGATTTTGTTGCAGAGCTTCACGGTTCGACTCCAGCGGCTGCCCTGGTTACTACTGAAGCGCCATCTGTTTTCACAGTGGACGTTAAAGTTCCCGTGACATATTTTGCAATAGTAGACCATTGTGTGTGCCAGAGTCATGGTCCAAATTTTGCCAAATAAAAAAAAATACCCGCAAATGACTCAATTGGTATTTATCAAAACGAGCATCGCCCCCGAGAAACCCTGGCAGGAGCCTCCTGCAAAGAGTCATGAGATGGGGGAGGCTTTCCTGGGCAACCAAGCACACTCATACAGATACAGAGCTTGGAAACTCCTTTAGAAGAGAAGATAAATAATTCGTGAGTTTAAAGAAAATGGTATTTTATGCATGAGTATCTATATTAATATGGGAATCAAGGACAAACCTTTTTCATTGGCTGTGTAGGGTAGTGGTGGGTTTAACGACACACTTATGTTTATGCAATCTAACCCAAAAAATACCTTTATTAAGGAGCTAGATGCTAACTTAGCCGTTCAATAGTAAGTTGCTGTTATTTGACTAGAGGTGTTTGAGATATGGCGAGTGATTGCAACACAAAAGGAGGATATTAAAGGAATTATCACCACCACCATGAGGATGACTCGGGATGTACGCTCATGTTGAGGCACGCGGTGTGGGCAGAGCGGTGGGAATGAGTTGGCTTCGCATTCTTCAGCAAGTGGCTTCGCGCTCTTAAGTGGGAGGCACCGTAGACATCGCGGTGGTACAAGGACGGCGATGACCTCACGCATCGCGAACGTGGGGGGGATCAGTGAGGCTGTCGGTATTTATGGGACATTTTTTTCCGTATCAAAACGATGAAAAATAAGAAGAGATTTTATCTTTCCTGGCAATAAAACAGGAGGTGTTAAGATGTTCAAACACCAAAATAGATACGTTTTGCAAGGCATCAAGTCTGCATTAACCACAGATATTTGTGGCAAAACATGCAAATAAACATGCTCTGATAATAATTGCATTGTCCTTAAAACTAATTGGCCTACACCAGAGACAGCCTTCTTCATGGGGTATGGCCTGGTCTCACCACCAGTGTGAGACCTGAGAATGCCAAAGGGTGAACAGTTCCAAGGCAATGGAAGTATCAGAACACTTCTAGCTCGGGTCCAGCAGTTATATCGATGGGACCTTTTTTCCAGTGTCAACTATGATGCAGAATAAGAATAGGTTTTCGGTGTTCACAGCTCAACTAATTTACTATTATGCACCAGTATCCTATTATTATTTAAATGTTCTTCACGGTTCTGCGCATGCTGTATATCACAGTGAGCTATCTTGAAACTGAAACGTGCATTATCCTTTAATGAGCTCCCACTGAAGCATTGACTGTGACATAACCCAATGCTGCTGTCAATGCATGTGGTCATACAACTTAAAATACGTGTACACTGTTTTGAAGACCATATATAGCAGGATGTGATTGCAGAATGTATGACCTGGGCAGATTATTCACACTGTGTAGCCTGAACATTTCTGATGGCAGATACGAGTATGACGGATTACAATGTAATGTGTTGAATACAATATTGTGTAAATGACACAGCCACCAGTGGTACAATCTCGATCCACGTCGCCTCCTCCCTTGTGACGAGGACAATCAATGAAACGTTCTTTTTTTTTAAATCTGGCACTTTTACCAATAAAAATCGCTTCGAGGAGCTGCACAGAAATAAATCATGAAATAAGACATCGTTTACACACCTTCGATTAGCACGGTTGGCTACGTACGGTGCGAAAGAAGCTCAACATACACACGTACGAGACAACCATCAAATAAATATTGAACGTACATTAAATACTGCTCGTTAGAAATGCATATAATATGGTTAATAAGTGTACAATCCTATACAACTAAAAAAACAGGAATGGCAACATCTGAAAACCACTGTGCAATGAGATGACAAACACACATGATCAAATATCGTCGGGTGGAGTAAAGGGCTAATGTGGGTACAAGGCCTCTTTGTCCTGCTGCTCGCGTGTGGTCCGTCTGTTGAGCAGCAGACACGAGCAGCAGCAGCAGCAGGGCCTGTGCAGGAGGGCGCCAGTCCACACCTCCACCTCATCGTGGCTCAAGACGCTACTTCGGTTCGCACCACGATTGAAAGAGGTCTCTCACCCCCCCCCCCCCCCCCACATTCTACCCTCAACATTCAGTCATTGGTCGTGTGCAAAACCGCTTTAAAAACGAATTGTAAAAGAGAGATGGTAAATCCTGAAGATGCAAAAGCTGTCAACATGCATACGCATATAAATGTTTAAAAAATATATTTTAAAAGTAATGTTTTAAAACTGCAGGACCCTCTGCGCATTCACAGATCCGAGGCGAATCATTCCCCAGCGTTGGGGGCTGTTGGAACCCTCTGCCACACCACGCATCCTGCCTCTCCGTTCGAGTGGCACACTCGGTAGACCTGCACCCTGTGACCCCCCCCACCCAGCCCCACGTGTGATGCATGAAACAAGGGATTTAGAAAATCAAGAGCATGAATTGCCTCCTTCTGTCAAGCTGGGGTGCAATTCAATAATAAAACAGGCTTGTGATTGTATTTGCAGAAGTCTTCAGCAAATATATTTAAGACCACCGCTCTTAGCATGAATAAAGAATGTGGTTAACATTTTTAGTATTCTCTACCCCTGGGCTTCAATGGCTCGTGTTTTGAAAAGTGCTTGAACATGGCGTGGTATTCTACTGGGGATGTTAACCATCGGATTGGCTCGTGATTGGAAACTGCATGATCCATTTCATGCGAGTTACCCGGTTTGGGTTCTGAAGCTGCCAAAGTGGAGACTCTGAGAACTACATATACACCACTTAAAGGTACACTGTGTTATATGAGGCACACACACACACGCCGTACATAATACCCTGAAGGTTAACCACAGTTAACAGATACAATTTTTCTGCAGAGTAATTACATTTCACATTTCAGTCTTTGCTACTTAACATGCTGCACTTAAAATGTATACAATTAACTATACTATAACAAAAAAATATTTTACTAGGTAAGGCCCACTGAGCTATATAGCTCTATTTCAGAAGTGACCTGGTCATAATGATAGCTCAACAAAGTGGCTTATCACGTAGACATTTATCGCAGCCAAATACTCGAAACGCGTGTTCATAATTATAAATGTGGAAGGAAAAACCGGACCACGAGGAGAGAGACACGCAAACTCCAACTATACAGCAGGCGTCAGGGTCGGGATTGAACCCACGACCGCCTGCATACCAGGCGAGGTAGTTAACATCTCGCCACCGTGGCGAGATGTATAGGTATCGTTGCATGTCGCTGAATGTTGTGAAGACAGCGCCATAGGAGACAGATCACCGAAACCTGGAGTCGAGCCAAACAGTCGGCACGCCAAGTCACTGGGGTCTGCCCTCAAGGGCGACGAGTGACTGCCATTTGGGCACAGTAGCCACTTCAACAACAACAACCAGTTCGGATTACACCCCGACCATAAGCCCATGATTTTCACAATTATTCTAGTGGCAACGCACCGCATTCCATTGATGTACCGTGCATGATGCAAATAACCTTTGAAAAGTAGCAAAGCAGTGTGTGTGTGTGCGATACAGTTTTCACCGAGAACATGAAACTTCACAAAGTCGTATCACTGAAGCAACCGTGACGGCCGTGTGTGTAGGCTCGCTTGTTGTTGCCATTACAGCCGATGTAAGATGCTTTTGGTGAAAAAAGTTGTAAGTGGAGGGAGTGTGTAAGGATGGCTATAAAACTAACATCATCCAAGCCCTTGCTGGACGCGGTTATTTTTGGTAGTGATTCTCCGGCGCCTTTGCACTGCGTTTGTACCAACTACAGAAGTATGAAGATTGCACTTCGTAGTTTCACGCCGTAGGTTTGTTGCCATAGCTGCGAATGCCCCCCTTCTACGCCCAACTGCGACTAAATGACATTGAGGCTGTACCAGGTATAATGCAGCAGTGGCTATGTGTGGACTGTGACACCTGAATTCGATTCCCAGCACCCACGGCTTACACCAGTGGCGAGCCATGTCTGACCCGATCCCTTCATTTGAAGTATCCCACACGGACCCCCGCGGTGAAGTATGGTCAAACAATTCCCCACGACTGATACAGCTGTTGGGAGGATCTTGCAAGGGAGCCACACTGCTCTGCTGTGCTTTTTCATGCAAGATTGAGCAATATATATTTGTTTCAATAATCTGTCAATCGAACATGAAGAAAATTAACAATCTTATTTTGACAATACCTTTTAACTCGTCTTGCGCACTTACACTCCGTGTCTGTTCTGTATTAATGTATTAAGGTTAATGTTATCGTATGTGCTGTCAGATGTTGTTGTACCTGTTTTGAAAGTTGTGGTATTCATCGCAGGATGATACCCCGTAAACTTAATTTTTGTATTTTTAACTGCTAGTTACTATCTGATGCTATTTATTTGAAGGTAATTTTTTACATACTCTACATTTGTAGTCACAATGGGTATGACAACAACAATCTAAGAACCACAATCGCCTCAACACTGCAGGTCATCAAGAGAATAAGGAGCAAGTGCTGTTAGCGAGCAGCACCTATGAAGGCGACACGGCACACGAAGGGCGTGTGGGTGGCCAGCACCACGCCCGGCCACCTTTGTCTCCCGAGTGGCGATGTTTACTGCACACCGCACCAGGTTACTCATTTGAGGCTGAGTCGACCTAGGGGGTGCCCAGGACCGGTTCAGATCATCGTCACCGGTGCTGGCCGTGAGCGGGAATCGAAGCCGGGTCGCCAGTTTCGTAGCGCAACGCGCTAACCTCAGCACCACCGCTCCCTTTGAGAGTACAATTCACACACACCTTATTGATAACACGGCAGTCAGGTTATTGACTCGAGCATGTGATCAGTGGAGTAGTAAGAGTTGTTGCTATTTTAATTGGAACTCCAGAAGCCAGTGGCTGACAGCAAAGGAGACACTCGCTGCTCCGGTGTCTGCTCTGTCACAACAGCCACGTGAGTTTGAGGCCAGCGATGTCTCAACTTCTATTTATTAACACGTTAAGGAATCGCACACACACACATATCCGTGTGATTCAACGCGCGTTTAGAGTAGATTACAAAATAAAAATTCTGATGCTGTCAATAAATGTACAAAAACTGTGTTGCTTCAGTCAGTGCGCCGCGTTCGGGCATGAAGTCAGCCTCGTTTGGCTCGTAAGGAATGTGACCCAAATGGCTGTAAGGATAAACGGGGATAATGGTTATGTGTCCTCATCATTGCGGATTAGGATTAGGTGGGGACTGCAGGAGCAGCAATAGCAGCGTGAGACAGTACGACATCGCTTCGGGATGTGTGCGCGCGGTGCGTTACGCAGCTTCGCTTCCCATTCAAAGTATAAACCGCCCGCGTGATGTTGCAATTACACTCGGGATTTGAACAACAAGTTATGTTCACTTGAGTGCCGATGCAATTGTTAATGCGGGACTTGTAGAGAGATGACTGCACGCATCGAATCACTGTTTGGGGTTTTTTGCCGGTGACAATGCGGGCTGATTGTGTTGCTCCTAAGCGACCAAACATGTTTCCCCCTCCCCAGTTCCAGACGGGTGGCGTGCCACTTCCCCACACCGTGACCTTGACATTGAAGAGGGCATTGTCCAAACGTGACGCGGGGCTGTGTAGCACTAATGGTTGTCCTCAATCACCATGTTGTAATCCATCTCACCCACCCAGGCCCCTCGTGGCTAAATGAAAGTAATATAAAAAAACGCTAATATATAAGATTATTGTTTTTGGTTAAACTAATGAAAGTAGTGGTATTTGATTTTCTAAATTTTTTTCCTATCTTATTTCCGATATTAGGAAGCTATTGCAGCTATGCACCATTGGAACCTCATTTGCCAGTGTAAAAATGTGATAATTGTTTTTTTACCCTTTTATCTGGCAACAAAACTGACACCTTTTTTTTACAAGGAGTCATGTTTGCATAGACCACAATACATGCAGTCGTAATGCAAAAAAAACAGCTATGCACTTTGAAATTTGGAATAAAAATGTAAAAATTTTAGAACTGCTTTTTGTGTTAAGTTTGTTGTCCTTTCACCCCGCATATCCGATTAGCACGGTTGGCTACGTACGGTGCGAAAGAAGCTCAACATAGGTACATAATAACAACACATGTATGAAAGATTCGCATAAACAATAACCGTTAAATAATAAAAACAATGTCATGAACGCAATGGTGTAGCATAATTAAAATAGTATAACTAATGGTGTTAGTGTAACTGACAGCATGTCTGGTGTAAGTGCTACGAATTATGATGCTGATGGAGACTCGTGACGAGGCTTAGATTGCCTGAACTGCAGGGCAAAGGAACTTTGGAGCAGTATAATCTGTGTTCGCACTGGAAAAGTCCAGCAAATGTGGAATATAATTGTGAACGCAAGCAAATTTGATATCACTATAATGTATGTGTATGTATGTGGGGAGCGGTATGTCTCCACATATGAAATGTAAGTTAATGAATTTAAAATAAAATATCACAGTAATGCTGCACTGTGATAAGCCACCAAAGGGCTCGCCATGAGCACGGACTGCAATACTCTACCGTAGCCACAAGGCGGCGGCATTCGCAGGTCACGCGTTCAAATCCAACCTGAATAATACTTTTTTATTTATGACTTATAAACAATCATATTTACTTAGTAATTTGTTGCGGTGTTCATCGGGATTATGACATTAAACAAAATATTCTGAAAGTATATACACCAGATGTGTTATTGTTTAATTAGCGATTAATACATCGAAGATGTACGGCCGGAGAACATGTAGCAATTATATGGCGAAGAGGTGCCGTTGGTTATCAACTGGCGCAGTGGCGCACTGGGCTTAGCCCCTCGACTTTTTATTAAGGGGGTCTAACGTCGGTTCCGGGAACCACCAAATTCGTAGGAGGGTTTCCATTCAAAATCAATCCACTAGCATGAGGTGAGAAGGTGTCGCGCCGCCTGTAGCTTCATTCAGTACCGCGATGGCCTTAGGCCCCTTTTTTATTTAATTAGTATTCTTGGTTCTTTTGGTAAAGTCACGTAGAAAGGAAATAATAAAAAATAAACAATTAAATAGTGAGAAATAGTAAGAATTGTACTATTTAATTTTTTTTTATTTCCCTGCTACGTGACTTTACCGAAAGAACCAAGAATATGAATCCCTGCAGTCACGAAAGCTTTCAATCGAAATTAAATTATTGTTTTTTTATATATATTGTACTTACAAACCTCGCCGCAAGGCGTCAGGATTTAAAAGGTCACGGGTTCAAATCCAACCGCCGTTATAATATATTTTTAAAAAATAACTTCATAAACTATTATTTTCTTTACTTTGTCATTTGTAGCAGTATTTCTGGGCATCGTTACGTACAATACAAAATTCTATAACTATTTATACAGATGTGTAATTGTATATAAAAAAATCATTTTAATACTTCAACGGATCAATGATTACTGGGAGCAACGTTAGTTTTAGCGTCACTCGCGCTGCCAACACTTTATTGTGCAGTAGACACACAAATACGTTACAGTACAGTATCACATGCTATGTCATGCATGTCTCCACATATGACATGTAAGTTAATTAATTAAAAATAAAATATCAGTAATTCTGCACTGTGATAAGCCACCAGAGGGCTCACATTAAGCACGGAGTGCAATACTCTACCGTAGCCACAAGGCGGCGGCAGTAGATAGGTCGCGCGTTCAAATGCAAACTCCCCTGTCCATTCACGCGACTTTTTACTTAATTTCGGGCGTCAAGTCTCAGTTACATTCGTAACGACACAGACTTGCACTCTTGCTTTAACGTTTTTTTTTATTAGTCATTGCAAAAAAATCACATTGTACAAAAAACTCAACACACAACAGAATATATTGGGAGACGTTTCTGGCATTGCCCATTATTCATAGCGGTTAGATTTTTGCGTGGAGTTGTTATAGAATACGGTTTTAGGATCCAATCACGGCCGTGTAACTATGTAACTAGCCTCTTGCCCGTCCAAGGACGGGTGTATTTCAGTAAATTTGAAACTTGCAAGCGAAAAGCAGACCGCGACGTGATATATTCATTACATAAATTCGTGTTAAATTCATACTCTTTGGTTTCTTTCGGTAAAGTCACGTAGTTAGAAATAAAATAAATCACGACGTTTCGATCGCAACACAAGCGATCGAAACGTCGTGATTTGTTTTATATGATTTGTGACTTTATTTTATTTCGTGACTTTACCGAAGGAACCAAAGAGTATGGATTCCTGCAGTCACGAGAGCTCTCCTGTCCCCGCGATGTTACAATCGACCTAGCAGGTGTACGCGAGCTAATTTCATTGCTCCATCTCCTCAGTAGACGTCTCAGGGGCTCTGCACCTCCTTTGGCAGCGACTCCCTCGCCAGTCTCGACCACGGGCACCTCGGGGGGAGGCAGACATTTGTGACGATGTGTGACGATGGGGGGTCTCAGACTGATGACCAATGAGTGCACCATACAATAAATGTAAAATGTTTTTTTCATCATAAACAATTGCCCTACATTTTCTAAATAAAACTGCGAGATTTGAAATCATACATGGGTTTGATGACATGAAATAATAGCCTTAATGATACTGTACACATGATGCATGTATTAAAACATTTTATAAATAAAAATTACTTTGAATGACAATGACATAAAAAATATAAATAAGTTATGTACTCACTAGTGTAACTAACCGGATGCTCTCCTGCCTCCACACATCGTATAACCTTATTTTTTACATCCATACTGATGCCTTTCCTTTGTTTAGCCACATTACCAGAACTATTACTTGCAGGCCTTTTCCCCCATACATTGGGTCAAAAGTGCAATCAGGATGAAGCAATAAACAGTTACCAATGGTCAAATAACCAAACACACGTTCCACGGGAAGTGTTCAAGGCTGGCGGGCAGAGGCGGGAGCGCTGGTTGGCTCAGCACCACTGAGCGTGCGCTTCTCTTTCACTGATTGAGCGCGCGGCGTGTTTTCGCACAGGAATTTTGAACCGTTCAGGAATTTTCCTCCAGGACAGAGAGCCTCATAAGGAAATGGTGTTATAAGAGGCAGCCTGTCCATACGATTGAATTTTTTTTTTATCATAATGGTACTATGTAAATGTTTTCATCCTTATCATACTGCTGTTGGTGTCGTGAAAGACGTGTGTTAATTGTCCTGTCATTCTGCTCTAAACTTGAGATAAAACTATGTGAGCCCCTGTGCACGTGGCCACTTTTCTGCGACCATGCCAGTGAGATGGCCAATTGTTGCCAGCAACGCATTAAACATGAGCAACTATGGTAACTCTATGCAATAGCGTAGAGCAGCAGGGTTCTGTGTAGCTGAGGCAAATGGAGATTGGTAAAAAGGTGTTGACTACCTGGGATTGGTCTAAGAGTACACAGTGTTGGGTGGTCACATGATCTCTGATTGTAAATTTCTATCCCAGTTGCTCACTAAGGACGAGCAACTATTGGACGTGTCGTTCCTTGTAAAATCGAAAATGGTGTGGCAACAACTTCAAAATTATCTGCGCATACCACGGTGTGCGGCAGCCATTTGAGCCAACTGGGATATAATTGGGAATAAAATAAAGCACTCCAATGACTTAGACCTAACCGCTCTGTGGCCGCTTCTCTCTCTCTCTCCAGATGGAAACGTCCTCACGCTCAAGTTGTACCCGAGGCAAAGCGACCTCCAGCTATGGCGCCATCTTTTCGCAGAAGCTGTCGCTGAGGCTGCTGCTGCTGTTGCTGCCACCGCTGCTGCTGCTGCTGAATGTGGCCGTGGCACAGCGCGAGAGCGCAGGCCGCGCGTCCGTCCTCTCGATGTTGCGGTGCAAGCAGGTGGACGTCGCCAAGAACCTCTCCTCCGGATACGGGTGCTTCTGCCACACGAGATTCCGCCACGCAGAGCCCCAGGACGAATTGGACTTGTGCTGCATGGTGAGGCTTGGCTGGGGGTAATTCGTAGAGTGAGTGAGAGAGGCACCGATGCTGCGTTGGGGCGATGGATAAAGGCCTCCCCAAACCGCATTTGCGATTGTCTCTCACAAAAACACTCATGATATAGATTTATGTATTATATGATTTTTCATAGAATTAGGACCCATATCTAAAAAATCCTTACCCGATAAACATCTGGTAGATCACCAGCATTGGTTTAAGCCAGCGTGACTTGTGGTGATACATTGTACGTTTAGACCGGTCCAGAGTTTGCTTGTGTTCAACCCTATGCTGGTTAAATTACGCACTCACAGAATGCCGTGTAGATAATGGGATGTGTTAAAACATTTTTATATTCATGTGGAGGGAGCGATATGTCAAGGAGGCATATTATCTTCTTATTTATTTCATCCATAAGTGGATTGACAAAGAGCTGTGAGAAAGAAACGAAGTTTCCTTGTTTCAGTTCATTTAGTTATACCAGGTTCTCACCAATTTCATACTAAAACATCTGCCTGTCTGCCCACATGTTCCTTGGTCCATTCGTCCATCCCCGTGGCTAAAGATGGCCCACTGCTGTGCCCGTGCCGCAATCCTCGACTACTGCCAGTCGGAGAGTGGCCTGCAAACGCTCGAGGCCAAACTCAAGGAGCAGCCCTCCTGCAAGACACATCGGCCTGCGGCATCACGCAAGACCGACGAGCGTTCGGAGGCCACGGTGACCCGAGATGCCGTGGTAGAGGTGCTGGAGGCCGTGACAGAGGAGTTGAAGGAGATGACTGTGAAGGAAAAGCAAAGAGTGGAGCGGGAGGCCAACACGACATGTGAGCGGGTGCTGTACGAGTGCGAGCGGGCGTTGTACACGTGCGCCAACGATGCACCTGTGCGGCCTCATTTGGTCGGGCTCCCCCAGGTGAGTGCAGGTTGCTTCGAGATATTAACTACCTCGTGGGGTGCCACGGTGGCGAGATATTAACTACCTCGCCTGGTATTCAGGAGGTCGTGGGTTTGATCCCGACCCTGACGCCTGTATATTTGGAGTTTGCATGTTCTCTCCTTGGTTGTGTGGATTTTTATTCAGGTCCTCCGGTTTTTCCTTCCTGATTTACATATTTGGCTGATATAAATTTCCACATAAGTCACTTAATTGAGCTGTAATTTGTGGCCAAGTCGCTTCTAAAAAAGAGCTATATAGCTCAGTGGGCCATGCCTGGGAAAATAAACATTGTTATGTTTATAGTTTAATAGTATTTTTTTTATTCACACACTGAGTATGGATTGCAAATTAAATGGGGTTTTTGGATTGGCACGTGATCTTTAAAAAAATACTTAAAACGAATTCTAGCTCCACATCGGGTGTTTACATGAACAGGCACAATTTAATCAAAAATATTTTATTGTCTATATTCAACACAGGCCTAAAGCCCCATAATGCAAAGCAGCCAGCAACAAAACATGAATGATAAATACAACACATAGTATCGCCCCAATGCTCATTCGAGCAAGAAATCACCGACCGACTTTTTGGAATAGAGCAAGTCTATAAGAACTTGGGAAAATAAACAATGGGAGTTCCAAAATCAGAAACTAAGGGCACAGCAGATAAGATGAGATGTATAGACTTTATTGAACAACTTTGTAGAAACTCGGTGAAAGAGATGATAGAAAATAACTCCTCAGTCGAACAGGTGAGAACAGGAGAATGTTAAATCTCCTGCAGTGTAGTTGTTGGACACAGTAGGGATACCAGGAAATTGTCATCTTGATAGGAAGGGCATCAATGTGTGAATTTCCTGGGCACAATGATTGGTCGTGCCCATTAAAGAGTGATAAAGAAGTAAGACAGCAACTGCAGTGAATCAATGTGTGCAGGAGGACCATTTAACTGAACTGCTCTGTTAAATTGTACAAGCAGAATTTACAGTATTCTGACCAATTCAAAACAGTGCTTATCATAGGATCTGCACATGTCGCATGTACATCACGAGATGTCCCACACAAGTTTGAGGTTCACTTCATCATTTATTTTCAAGTTATAGTAAGCGGTGTATCATTGTGGCACTTTAGTGACGTCGCGAGACCTTTTTACAATTCAAGTTGAGGGAGCTGGATTAATTCTGGTATGGTAGGACTATAACGGATGGAGATGACATGCAGAGACCTTCATCCTGCAGTGGCTATACAATGATTGATGATGATTAATCGTATTTTATAGCCCTTAGACACAAATGAATGCATGAAAAATGAGTGTAAGCTTCTATCTTAATGAATTATAACATACCTAATGTTTGCCAACCCTGACACTCTCCCTTGTCGATACTCCCGCCGGCCTCTAGGATGAGGTCTGCAGGGCCAATATCGACCGGCCAGTGTGCTCGCTGGAGCCAGCACCGACCAACCAATCTACAGCCATACCTACCACCAGACCTGTTACTGGACTCACAAAACAAATTCCCAGTTCTACAGCCAGACCTACAACCAGTTCTATTACTAGACTCACAACAACACCTACCACCAGTACTACAGCCAGACCTACCAGCCGATCTTTTTCCTGGCTTACAACCAGCTATTCGACCAGTTCTATAGCCAGATCTTCGAACAGATCTTCTGACAAATCGACAGACAGGTTCACTGAACATTTACTCAATCTGATTACTGGAAGCGAAGAGACCTCCAGAGAAATGGTGACAGGAAATGTACACTCAGCACAAAACCATGTTTGGCAACCATCCCATCTCAGAAGCGGTGATGCACACTCACACATACAACACCTGGACCCCATTCTCAGGGTTGATAGTGATCTTACACCGAGACAATACCTGCAGCACATTCTGAGGGTTGACAAAGTACACCCACTCAGACATCATCCATGGCCCAATCTCGCTCTTGGCAGCACACATGCACACCGACAACATAGCCTCACCTGTGACCGAGCACACCCACAGACACGACAGAGTGACAATACACCCCAAGAGAGACAGCACAGTCTCAGAAACAGCGTATTGCACTTTCTGAAGCAACACCGTAGATACGCTGATTCGAACCTATACAAACAACACCGACCCATTCATGGCATTGCACATAAACGCATACAACTCTTTGACAGTACATACCCACACAGACAACACCGTGTCAAGAGTGACTATACAGACCCAGAGATACAGCACATTCCCACAGGCAACATAATGCGCTTTCTGGGCCAACGTCCTTTTAGAATTGACGATTCACAACCATACGGACGACACCCTCCCAGAGGTGGCACTACACACCCACGTAGACACAGTGTCGAGGGTGACAATACACAGCCAGAGAGACAGCACATTCTCAAAGAAAGCATAATGCGCTTTCTTAACCAACGCCCTTTTAGAATTGACGATTCAGAGCGATACGGACAACACCCTCCCAGAGGTGCAGCTACAAAACCACGTGGACAATACAGTTTTGCTGATAGCATCATCAATGGACCCACATTTGCTGACAAGAAGAATGTGGGAGATATCATCAATGAACCAACGTTCACTGACGAGTACAATGCAAGAGACACCTTTAATCGACCCACATTCGCTGACGAGAACAATGCGGAAGACATCAATGGACCCGACAGTACACACAAACACAGACAACTCCTTGACAGTACATACTCACACAGACAACACCGTGTCAAGAGTGACTATACACACCCAGAGAGACAGCACATTCTCACAGGCAAAACAATGCGCTTTCTGGGCCAACATCCTTTTAGAATTGACAATTCACAACCATACGGACGACATCATCCCAGAGGTCCCAATAGACACCCACACGGACATTACAGTTTAGGTGATGGCACCATCAAAGGACCCATGTTCACTGAAGAGTACAATGCAAGAGACACCACCAATGGACCCACGTTCACTGACGAGAATGATGCGAGAGACACCATCAATAGACCCACATTTGCTGACGAGAATGATGCGGAAGACATCATCAATGGACCCGACAGTACACTCAAACACAAACAACTCCTTGAGAGTACATACTCACACAGACAGCACCGTGTCAAGAGTGACAATATAGAACCAGAGCGACAACACATTCTCACAGGCAACATGATGCACTTTCTGGGCCAGCACCCTTTAGAATTGACGATTCACAACTCTACAGACGACACCCTCCCAGAGGTGACAATACACACCCACTCAGACAATATAGTTATGGTGATGGCACCATCAATGGACCCACGTTCACTGACAAGAAGGCGGGAGACACCATGGATGAACTCACATTTGCTGACGAGAACAATTTAGAAGAAAGCATGGATGGACCCAGATTTACTTATGAGAACAATGCGGAATATACCATGCATAGACCCACATTCACTGACAAGAATACGGGAGACACTGTCAATGGACCTAAATTCGCCGAAGAGAACAATGCGGGAGACAGCATGGATGAACCCACATTAACTTATGAGAACAATGTGAGAGACATCATGCATAGGCCCACATTCGTTGATGAGAACAATTCGGGAGATACCATCAATGGATCCACATTCGCTGAAGAGAACAATGCGGGCGACAGCATGGATGGACCCACATTCACTAACGAGAACAATGCGGAAGACATCATCAATGGACCCGACAGTACACGCAAACACAAACAACTCCTTGACAGTACATACTCACACAGACAACACCGTGTCAAGAGTAACAATACAGATCCAGAGCGACAACACATTCTCACAGGCAACATGATGCACTTTCTGGGCCAGCGCCCTTTTAGAATTGACGACTCACAACTATACAGACCACACCCTCCCAGAGGTGACAATACACACCCACTCGGACAATACAGTTTTGGTGATGGCACGCCCACATTCACTGACAAGAATGCGGGACACACCATGGATGAACCCACATTTGCTGACGGGAACAATTTAGAAGACAGCATGGATGGACCCAGATTGACTTATGAGGACAATGCTGGAGATACCATGAATGGACCCACATTCACTGACAAGAATACGGGAAACACTGTCAATGGACCTAAATTCGCTGAAGAGACCTATGCGGGAGACAGCATGGATGGATCCACGTTCACTGACAAGAACAATACGGGAGACACCATCAATGGATCCACATTAACTACTCAGAACAATGCGGGAGACACCATGGATGGTCCCACGTTTACTGACGAGTACAATACGGGAGACACTGTCATTGAACCCACATTCACTGACGAAAACAATGCGGGAGACACCATGGATGAAACCACATTTGATGACGAGAACAATGCGGGAGACACCATGGATGAAGCCACATTTGATGACGAGAACAATGCAGGAGACAGGATGGATGGACCCACGTTCACGGATCAGAACAATGCGGGAGACACCATGGATCGATCCACATTTGCTGAAGAGAACAATGCAGGAGACACCATCAATCGACCCACGTTCACGGATGAGAACAATGCGGAAGACACCATGGATCTATCCACATTTGCTGAAGAAAACAATGCGGGCAACAACATGGAAGGACCCACGTTCACTTATGAGAACAATGCAAGAGACACCGTGAATGGACCCGCATTCGCTGATGACAATCCGGGAGACACCATGGATGAACCCACATTTGATGACGAAAACAATGCTGGAGACATCATAAATAGATCCACGTTTACTGAAAAGAAAAATGCAGGAGAAACCATTCACGAACCCACATTTGCTGACGAGAACAATTTAGAAGACAGGATGCATGAACCCAGATTGACTTATGAGAACAATGCGGAAGATACCATGAATGGACCCACATTCACTGACAAGAATACGGGAAACACTGTCAATGGATCCACATTCACTAACAAGAACAATGCGGGAGACACCATTAATGGTCCCACGTTTACTGACGAGTACAATGCAGGAGACACCATCAATGAACCCACGTTCACTGACAAGAACAATACGGGAGACACTGTCATTGAACCCACATTCACTGACGAAAACAATGCGGGATACACCATGGATGGACCCACATTAACTGATGAGACCAATGCGGGAGACACCATGGACGGACCCACATTTACTGATGAGACCAATGCAGGAGACACCATCAATGGACCCACATTCACTTACGAGAACACTGCAGGAGACACCATGGACGGACCCACATTCACTGACGAGAACAATGTGGTAGAATCCATCGATGGACCCACGTTCACTGATGAGACCAATTCGAAAGACACCATGGGTCAATCCAAATTCGCTGAAGAGAACAATGTGGGAGACAGCATGGATGGACCCACGTTCATTGACGAGAGCAATGCGAGACACACCTTTAATGGACCCACATTTACTGATTATAACAATGCGGGAGACACCATCAGTTGACCCACATGTACTGACCAGAAAATGAGGGACACACTCTTGACTGACAAGAGCAATGTAAGCTACACTCTGGATGAAGCCAGCCTCGCCCAGGGCCTCATCAAGTGATGATTAACAGTAATGCATCACTTCCACCGCTGTCACCACCATCACCAAGAGCATCACTGTGTCGGAACTGAGCTTGCAATGCGAGTATCTTTCAGTTACAGTCCTGTATGCAGGCATGTGAAAACAAAAAATGTAAAATAAAATAATAATAATAAATCACGTCTATTTTTATTATATATATACTTTACATCCACTTACTTGGTCGCATTCACTTACCATTGTTCACTCAATCCCAGCTAATGCTAGCCTCCCCCTTTTCTCCACTTATTCTCTACACATTTTTTCATTTATTTTTCTTCACCTCTTAACCATCATCCAGCCGTCCTCATCTATCTTCAGGCTGCAATGTCCACAATGGAGAGGGGCTATGAGATAGGGTTCAAGAGGCACATTGATTTTTAGCAGGCCAAGATTTTGTTGCAGAGCTTCACGGTTCGACTCCAGCGGCTGCCCTGGTTACTACTGAAGCGCCATCTGTTTTCACAGTGGACGTTAAAGTTCCCGTGACATATTTTGCAATAGTAGACCATTGTGTGTGCCAGAGTCATGGTCCAAATTTTGCCAAATAAAAAAAAATACCCGCAAATGACTCAATTGGTATTTATCAAAACGAGCATCGCCCCCGAGAAACCCTGGCAGGAGCCTCCTGCAAAGAGTCATGAGATGGGGGAGGCTTTCCTGGGCAACCAAGCACACTCATACAGATAAAGAGCTTGGAAACTCCTTTAGAAGAGAAGATAAATAATTCGTGAGTTTAAAGAAAATGGTATTTTATGCATGAGTATCTATATTAATATGGGAATCAAGGACAAACCTTTTTCATTGGCTGTGTAGGGTAGTGGTGGGTTTAACGACACACTTATGTTTATGCAATCTAACCCAAAAAAATACCTTTATTAAGGAGCTAGATGCTAACTTAGCCGCTCAATAGTAAATTGCTGTTATTTGACTAGAGGTGTTTGAGATATGGCGAGTGATTGCAACACAAAAGGAGGATATTAAAGGAATTATCACCACCACCATGAGGATGACTCGGGATGTACGCTCATGTTGAGGCACGCGGTGTGGGCAGAGCGGTGGGAATGAGTTGGCTTCGCATTCTTCAGCAAGTGGCTTCGCGCTCTTAAGTGGGAGGCACC